CAGCCCCTTCGAATAATCCGTCATTGTGTGACTATTCTAACAACTTACCGTATTATTTTGTGAAAACCCAAACACTCATTGAATCAATATTTGGTAAAACTTAGTCCAAAACTTTCTTAATTATAGTATGTGGGCTTTCACACGACAAAACAACCAACAAAATTTGCATCTACTCATAGACGTTTTGAGGCAACCACTGCTTGAACCTTATGACTAGAAGTAAGCCTCTCAATTCCGAAAATATATTCGAGCTTCCAAAATAGCTACTTCATGTTTTTTGGACAAGTATACGAATTCATCAAAGGCGCTCCACCAGGTCGTATTAGAGAGGAAGTTCTGCAATGTGTAGAACACATGATGTTTTAAACGTATCGACCGATGTTCTGGGATCTTTATGCCGACGAAATATTCGTCTGAGGGATTACTGATCTCAGAAGACTCGAATATGTATTTATTGATGAAAGTCAAAACAGTCTGCCTGTGCACCTTCTTGCACCTGGACAACGGCAAACCACAATGTGCAGAAAAGCCGCCAACGTAAAGCAAATACTAGAACTTAACAGCAATTAACCTTTGTTTTACAAACGCGGCTGTATCCTGCACTCCCTTAAAAAGAATCCAGACCCATTGAAGGAAGCCACCAGACAAACAAGTCTGATCAACTATACCTTCAGAACCTCTTCAGGGATAATAAGTTTGCTGCAGACAAGCAGGCACCAAGTGAACAGAAGATGTCCAGGTCTGGAGGGCTGCGCCCTAAAGTAAAATAGTCCCTGAGGCAGTTTCTCGACTGTTAAAACTCACCAAAGTAGACATAGCCCATCGATCCAAAGCAATAATTCGCCACAGATTCATGCAACGCAAACACATCTTGCTCCTGACCAAGACCTCAGGCGTTGTTAACAGAATACTTTGCGACAAGGCGGATTAGCCAAAATTTTAATATTCAAGGAGCCACCATCTTAGGCCAGAGGAAATCAACGATGGAAGGGCTAACGCTTGAGCTGTAATATTCATATGCCAACCTTATTAACAGGCATCTAGATCTTCCTACATCTTACAAAGCCTTGCAGTATTACGTAAACGCTGCTCAAGATAAGAAAGCCAAGCAAGAATCAAAAAAGCCGCACAGACACAATCCCAGAACGAGTTCGTCCGAGGAAGGCAATGAGCAACCAAACTGAATAAAGCGGACGAGGGTAAAGCCACCCACAATCCCACCCCCATCGGCTTCAGATAACACGTTTACCAGGGAGATATTCTGATACACAGACAACGGTCTCTATTGGACGTTTTTATTATTGTCTAAATTATTGTTTTCCTATGTTGATGTATTGTCATTATGCGAGGTAAATTTACACAATACGATGCATTAGAAGAGGCAGTTGGGCGTTTTAGTTGTAGAATTAAATAGGGGGGAGTTTTGGTTGCGCGAAAACAATATTTCAAAACAGTGATATAATAACATAAAAAATAATAAATACGATAATTAGAAAAATAATAATGTAACACCAATAGACAATAAACAATAGGAAAACAATACAACACTAACAAAACATAAAGTGGAAGGTAGAAATCCCAAGAAATATAATTTAAATGTAAGGCGTCCCTTGGGAAAATGCTGAAATTTATTCAGTAAGTTTTCGGCAATTGTTCTTTGCACATTTTTCTCCAGTCTGCTGACGACCGAGTGATCCAATGTCGAAAACCTACTGAATAAATTTCGTTATTTTCCCAAAGGACACCTTTCCTTTAAACTAATAAAACAATACTAAAACAATAAATAAAGGCAACCAACCAACCAATTATAGATTACAATCAAAAATACTAAACTAAAAATTGTACAATAGTAAGGAAAAATAAGTAAAATAAAAGCAATCTGCAATATTTTACTAATGCAAACAATATTTAAAAACTAGCAGACGCTTCTTGAGGAAGTGACCAATAAAAGTAAAGCACGGAGGTCCGGTAGGAACCTTGCCACCTCTACCAGATGTTCCGCCCTGTAGGCTAACCATTTCAAGCCCATTCCGGAACGCCTGTTTTTCATTTCTCAGATTTTAAACTCAGCACTCTAAATTTTATCAAGCAGAAGAAATTTAATCAGATTTTTTCCCTTATTAAGCGTTATAATTAGCTACGGACCAAGATATTGGAAGCACATGTGACACCACACT